ACCAAAGTATCCAGATGTGTTGATGATTAAATACCAAAATGTCCAGATGTGTTGATGAATAAATACCAAAGTATCCAGATGTGTTGATGATTAAATACCAAAATGTCCAGATGTGTTGATGAATAAATACCAAAGTATCCAGATGTGTTGATGATTAAATACCAAAGTATCCAGATGTGTTAATGATTAAATACCAAAGTATCCAAATGTGTTGATGATTAAATATCTAAGTATCCAAATGTGTTGAGGATTAAATACCAAAGTATCCAAATATGTTAATGATTAAATACCAAAGTATCCAAATATGTTAATGATTAAATACCAAAGTAACCAAATGTGTTGATGATTAAATACCAAAGTATCCAGATGTGTTGATGATTAAATACCAAAGTATCCAGATGTGTTAATGATTAAATATCTAAGTATCCAAATGTGTTGATGATTAAATACCAAAGTATCCAAATATGTTAATGATTAAATACCAAAATGTCCAGATGTGTTGATGATTAAATACCAAAGTAACCAAATGTGTAACCAAATATGTTTTCGGCCGTAATCCCAATAATATCTTACAAGGTTCGACCAACTTAGGAAATTTAGGTTATCCCTAAATACAAATTCTAAGCTAACGATGCAAAACCGTCTTTTAAAATAAAAGTATATAAACGATAAATAAAATGAAAGTAATTACCTTCGATATACTAACTAAAATAATCAATATTATTAATGAAATGAATAATAAATACACAAAATTGCAAGCCTTACTTAGGTACCACACAAACACTAACTCTTGTCTCGAACCATTGTCGTTGATGTATATTTGTTTGAAATATTGTTCTCTCTAACCCCGCACTTTACCAAAGAAAACTCATTACGACACTCCAACTATATAACGTCATATCCCCCCTCCCTTTATTTAGCTTAATCATGGCTAAATGCGTTTGTCGAAGCTTGGTGAGGGGTTTCAGTTCTTCTTGGGATATTTTTTAACGTTTCTTTGAAGAGTTGTGGTTATAAAAAGTAGACAATGCATGACATCTAATGTACGGTCTCTTCCTATCAGAACTAGCAGCGGTGTTGAAAGGTTCATAGAAACTCTGAACTCAAAATCCATGGATTAACCTGAAGAGGCACATAGTGTTTTACAGATTGTACATGAAGAAAATATAAATACATAGATATAGTTTTTCGCAGTTTACAAGCTAACACGGTTTGTCGTCCATATCTTTGTTGTTTTTTTTTTATTTCAGAATTTTTCACCTAAAGCTACAGAAGGACTATCTGCACATAGCCGTCGCCCTAATTTTAAACCGATAGACTGCAGATGGGCAGATAGTCAACAAGACCAACCGCCAACTCTTGGGATACTGTAATCGAATATAAAATTTGATTATCATTATTGTAACTTATCCACAGCCTCAAATATTTATGGCAATATGACGCGAACCATGAATCCTCGGACCCACAGCCAGTCTAATTGTTGTCTAAATAAATGATGAAATATTTTGTTGTTTTTTTCGGAAACTCGGCTAAAGCAGAGCAGTTTTTGTATAATCTAAAATATAACCATAAACATATACTTAAAACTTACTGCGAAGTAAATTGGTTTAAAGACAATTCCCTCACGGGAACAGGATTCGAATCCGCGACACTCAGATGCCAAGTCCCGTCATTAAAATGTATGGCTTTAAAAAGAGGAATGTGACGGTCAATCCCACTATTAGTTGGTAAAAGAGTAGCCCAAAGAGCTGGCGGAGGGTGGTGATGACTAGCTGCCTTCCCTCTGGTCTGCCCCCCAGTGGCACAGCGGTATGTCTGCGGACTTACAACGCTAGAATCCGGGTTTCGATACCCGTGGTGGGCAGAGCTCAGATAGCCCATTATGTAGCTTTGTGTTGAATTACAAACAAACAAACCCTCTGGTCTATC